AGGGGGGGGTGGGGGTGGTCCATGAGCCGGTCCCCCGACTACGTGCCCGTGCGCCCCGTCCTACCTCAGTGGGGTACAGTGTGGCCCTGGTGGAACAGCCTTCAACCACACGTAGCTCTGACAAAGTCCAGCTGGCGACGGGACGCCCTGAGCACAGCTTGTCCTTCTCCTTGTCCTGGTCAGGCACAGGTGGCCCAGTCTCATCCCCTTGACCCCCCCTCCCCCCGACCTCCTGGCAGCCACCTGAGCGCCCTAAAGGGAGTGTGTCAGAGCATTACATTAGGTTCCCCCAGTCACTAAATCCCAAGGGTAAGCACACAAAAAGGAGGCCCGTCACAGTAGCAGTAATGCGCTGGACCCACGTGGAGAGGGTCCCCGTTCACACCTCGGGGCCACCCTGAGCGCACCAGGCCCTGCTCTCGGCTGTCTCTGGTGTAAGAAATCGATGAGGAAACGTAAAGCAGGAAACACCGAGTACTGCACTCCTGGGGAGGACTGCATTTCTATGCCTGCAAGGATCCAATGTTAGGATCCAACGTTATTTATCTAGTGAAAGTTGTAGTTAGGATACAGTGTTATTTAGTAGTGAAAGTTGCAGTGTTAATTTACTTATCTGAGTGGAAGTTACAGTGTAACTACCTAGGGATCGGGAAGAGGGAGCGTTGAGGGTTGAGGCTGTTACCTGATCTCATACTCTCAAGAGATGCAGTCAGAACGTTCAGAGTTGACAAATTTAATAAAGATCTCCAGGGGCTAGCAGGTGGCATGGTGTTTAAGGTGCTAAATCCCACATGGCTGACTGTGGTTCGAGTCCCAGACCTGGAAGCTTGAAAACCACAACAGAAAAATAGATTAATAAGTAAATGTTTAAAAATAAATAGCTAGATAATGAAGATCATTAGTAAGCTAGCCTCAGATAGTGGCTGTACTCAGAGAGGTCTTTAACGTTCCCATGTACGTCACCCTCCCAGAGTGTCATGGTTTACCTCCGTGCTCCCATTTGGCCCCTAAGCATGTTTTAAAATGATCAGAAGAAACAGCTGAAGGGATTCAGTATGGCCAAGGGACAGACCTAGGGGGAAGGGGAGCGCTGGGACTGGAGACCCTGGTTTTCACTGTAAACTTCTCAGTACTATTTAATTGCACACCTTTATACATGTGCTTCTTAGATCAGAAAAAAAAGTGAAAAAGTAAGGGGAAGAGAGCAGCGAGTAGCTAGCAGGGTGAGCTGAGAGCCCAAGGAACCGCTCGAGCCCAGGGAAGTAGAGAGGACCGGCCACACTGTGCTGTCCTGGCACCTGTCCGCACGTGAGAACAGCACCGGGCCAGGCGGGCGCCCCTGCCCTCCCCGGCCGCAGCCCTGTGTGCAGTGTCACCATCCTGCACGGGGTTGCCAACGTGAGCGGGTTCCCGAGTCAGCGTGCCCCCCGGAGGGTAGTGACGTAGGGAGGCCCTGTGTTGGGCTGGGGGGCGCCACTGTCAGTCACGATAGAAATGAAAGTAAGTTTGGAAGTTCGGGTGTAGGTCGGACCGAGGCACCTGTCTTGGCAGGCCTGTCTTCCTCTCGCCCCACTTTATAGGAGACTGACTACAGACAGGAGTCCCCTGTCTCACCAGAGCGGCCCTCTCCTGGGCCTGCATGCACTCTGGAGTGACAGCTGGCCCAGAAGTGGGGGGTGTGGGCTCCGAATGTCACACCTGCATCAGGGGAAAGCCCTCAGCTGAGGGTCTCGATTCCCCCTTTATATGTTGTACAGCACACGCATGTGCGTGCATATGTGACAGAGCGAGGACCCACCTCCCAGCACGGCCTGGTCATGCCACAGTCCTGCTTGTAGTTCTACCCTGTCAGAACGCTGGCATGTTTGTATGTGTCCCCTGGCCAGGACTTGAACTCTGGTCAGCCCTGTGAGATCTGGCCTCCGGTGTATAGCACTAACCGCTGCATCACGGGCTGGCCTGAGACTGATCATGAGGCCTGGAGTGTGCGGGAGACCTCTGAGCCTCTGACAGCCCCTCTGGAAGCCCAGAGCCCTGTGTTTCTCCTGTCACATGCTGCTGCTGAGATTCTGTACTAGGGCCTGGCAGATGGCGTAACGGTTATGTTGCTGGACTCCCACACGATTGACCACAGTTCAAGCCCTGGACCCAGCGGCTTAAAGCTCACAGTAGGCACGTGTGTGTGTGCCCAAAATTCCGAGGAGAATGGAGGAGAAGGGATTGCAGCGTGGCCAACCCCCCTGGGAGGGTGATTTCTCGTTTCTATCTGGTGAGCACACTTGCCCTACAGCAAAAAAAAAAAAAAGATTCTCCACCGTCTTGGAGCCCTCACCAGGATGGTTTTTTTGGAGGGTGGGGGTGTCTGAAAACCGAGCTGGAGCGCCTGTCACTCCTTAACTTACGCCCAACTTGTTCTTGGGCCAAAAAACATCCTTCACTGCCTGTTCTCTGTCCCCTGGATTAGCCACCGAATTTCTTTAGGGAAGCATTTTTCACAAAGAAATAAAAGTGTCTTTCTAATTTTACCAGAGCCCTAGCGTAGTGACTGGGAGAGGCTGGCGTGGGATGGGAGGGAAGCCCCACCTACTCCGTGACGGACACTTGTCCAGCGGCAGAGCTGCAGCCAGCCCGGTCCGTGGGAGAGTGCCAGGGGGCCGGGGGCGAGAACGCACACATGGGAGGACGGGTCCTCCAGAGACCGGGCTACTGCACTGCTGGCCCGGGGAGGGGCCTGCCGGAAAGCAGGGTGTGACCCCTTCTGTCCCCACTGTCCTCCAGGACTAGGGGCCACGGGGGCTCTTTGTCTGTCTGCTGGCATGTGGTGACGGGTTAGCCTGAGTATACGTCTTTGCATTCTGTGAGCCTACGGGGGCTCTTGCTGACTCTATTTTAAGGCTACCTTTAAAAATAAGATTGAATTTCTGTTTTAAAATGAAGACTTAGTAGGTGCATGTTAATCTCCATCGTAAATGCCACACTGCCCTCTACTGGTGAGAATGCAAACCTTTCCATTGTGGGGCCCAGCTGTTGTGGGGGGTAGGCCGCTAAGCTCTGCAGACTGAGACCGCACAGGAGACCTGAGTTCAATTCCCAGCCCAACCTAAACGTCATCCCAGTGACTTGAGAGGCCGAAGGAGCAGGACCCTGAGCTCCAGACTGGTGTGGGCTGCAAAACGAGACCCCCGTCCGCCGAAGCGACTGGCAGATGGCATGGACCAGAGTCCCAACTGGAGGCAGCCAGGAGGGTAGTGACGTAGGGAGGCCCTGTGTTGGGCTGGCGGGCGCCACTGTCAGTCACGATAGAAATGAAAGTAAGTTTGGAAGTTCGGGTGTAGGTCGGGCCGAGGCACCTGTCTTGGCAGGCCTGTCTTCCTCTCGCCCCACTTTATAGGAGACTGACTCTGTAATAAAGCGTCAGCGACGTCTCCAGGGACAGTTTTCATACGTTCCCTGGCGAGTCCTACGCCTCCTCAGTCCTCCTTTATTACATGAGCTTTTCTCCTATGAGAGTGTCAGAGGGAAGCCACTCTTCCCGGCGTAGCTCACTGCGGGCGTGTGCAGATGACCGGGAGTCTGTCTCACTGATGCGTGGAGGCGAAGCAGGTTTTATTTTGCGCTTTTTTTTTTTTAGAGATTTTCACTATAGGGCGCGTGCGCTCGCCAGACGTTTTAAGCCACCGGGATGCGAACCGCGGTCAACTACGTGGGAGTCCAGCGACATAGCCATTACGCTAGCTGCAAAGCAGGTTTTACACACGCCCGTCTCCCCAGCCCCTTCAGCCCCGCGTCGGCGGATTACTGGATGCCCGTGGACCTGTACGTCGGGGGGAAGGAGCACGCGGTCATGCACCTCTTCTACGCCAGGTTCCTCAGTCATTTCTGCCACGACCGGAAGATGCTCAGACACAGGTGAGCGCGGCCCTGCTTCACGAACGCGGCAGGGCCGGGAGCCGCAGCCAGGCCAGGTGTCGGTTCTGCCGGGGCCAGGTGGGTAACGCGGCTGCTGACACAGGTCTGCGCCCTGCCGCCGCCTGGCGGCTGAAGGAATGACTGAGTTGGTGAGCGGGGGAAATGGCGGCCGCGCTCGCAGGCAGTGCGGCCTGACGCTCTCCGGCAGGCCTGGGCGCCCCCCACGCCCTTGTCCCTCATTCCTGGGCACCTCGCCATGCCCTGTCACGCCCGGTGCCTCCCTGAGGGGGGTGGCTCCCCGTCCGCCCTGCACTGTCCTGCTTTGCCGCTGCTAGTTACAGTTACCGGTGCAGGCAAAGCATCTGATTCTTTTCTTTTTTTAAAAAATTAATTAATTAATTAATTCTGTGAGAGAGAACGGGGGAGAGAGCTCCAGGCAGACAGAGACGGTACCCCACAAGGTCTTCATCCGCGCTCCGCCCCTGGCCTCACCAGCCCTGGGTCATGGGTGCACGTGCAACCAGCGTACTCAGGGAGGTGACTGGATGTGAGCCCAGAGCCTGCTCAAGTGGGTCAGCCCGCTGCTACATGTCCCGCTGCTGCATGTCCCGCTGCTGCATGTCCCGCTGCTGCATCCCCCGCGCTGCATCCCCCCCCGCCT